CCCTAACCCCTAAACCTTAAACCCTAAATCTTAAACCATAAACCCTAAACCCTAAACCCGTAACTCTTAACTCTAAACCCTTTAACCTAAACACTACACCTTAAACCATAGACCCCAAACTTTTAAACCTAAACCCTACTTTAGCTTCCGGAATCCATTTGCGGTTCTAGTTCTTATACTGAATGATACACAAAGCATCTAGACATAATTGACTACAAATACGCTAACAAGGCTTCTTGATTCTCAAAGCTATGATGGTGAAGCCGAAATTCTTATGAGTATTTGGTTTTGAATCGTACAATAGGGAAACAATACTTTACCTTTCGGGATCTTGTTAAGGTTCTAGTTTTATATTTAATCATACACATGACAACACGTAATCATATTTCACTTCGAAACGCAAACCAAGATTTTTCTTGCTTCTTAAAGTATTATAATATATTTGCTCCTAAACACTAAACCTAAACCCTACACCCTAAATCCCAAACCCTAAAATCTAATCCCTAAACCCTAAACCCTAAACCCTAACACTAAACCTTAAAACCTAAACCCTAACTCTAAACCCTAATCTGTACACCCTAAACCTTGAAATCTAAACCCTAAACGCAAAACCTTAACCTTAAACCTTAAACCCTGAATCCTACTTTAACATCCGGGTTCTTATTTCGTTTTTAGTTTTTATACTCAATGATAAACAAAACATCAAGTCAATTTGGACTACAAAAACACAAACCAAGCTTCTTCATGATTCTCAAAGCTTTGATGGTGAAGCCAAAGCTCTTAACAGTTTTTGGTTTTGAATCGTATAACAAGGAAGCACTACTTTACTCTTCGGGATCTCGTTGAGGTTCTAGTTTTATATTTAATCATACACATGACATCTACTCATATTTCACAACGAAATGCAAACCCAAATTCTTCTTGCTCCTCAAAGCTTTGATGGTGTAGCCTAAGTCCGTCTAATTTTTGGTTTTGGATCTTCTAACAAGGAAAGATAAATTTAGGTTCATAGCCTTGGTTGTGCTTTGATAATAGGTTTTTAGTCAATTATCCTAAAACACCAATCATATTGTTGTAGTATTTTAGGTTGTCAATCCAAATGGGTTTGATGCTAACAATCAAGATGTGATCAGAAGTCACTAAGTCAAGCCAAGCAATAACAGGTTTTGGTGTGTTCTAGCAGTTCTAAGTGAACATGCAGAAAACAGAAAATCAAACAGAATCAGTAAAACACTCGACCAACACAGCTCTTTGCAGAGCACTGGGTGAGGTCGAGTGACAGGTCGAGTAACAGACAGAAAATGAAATAGGGATACTCGACTGCACAGTCTGTTGCCAGACAAATGGGTGGTCGAGTATCAGGTCGAGTATCAGTAAAGAAATGCAGAAACTAAACAACAGATGATAAGATGCAGTAAACAACAGTAGAGTAAACAAAGAATTCAATCAGATAAGGAATTCCCGAGGATGGGGTAATTGAGTAGTTTTGTTTCCTCAGTTTACAGGTGATTGACATGCTCAATAAATTAACCCTAGACAACAAGTTCATTAACCAAATCTAAGTGCCACCGCAATAGAGACCCTCAAGTTAACCTAGTCCCAGACTCAATCACCATTGACGAGAGCTAACCTAACAGGCATTACGAATCAACAAGTTAAAGCCAAAATGCTCCCTGCAACCAATATCTTGGTACAGGGTCACGAATCTCTGGAATTAGTGGTTCAGACATTTCATCGAACACCTTTTGGGCGCGGAAATGTCTGGGCTCAAATTCCAGTTGATCAGAAAGCAATAGGCATTAAGAACAACTAATCCAGAAGGGATCTATCAATCAATACTCAATCACTTAGCATACTGAGAATCCTACACTACTCTAACCCATCCTCAGAAACCTATTCACTACTCAGACATCATAACAGAAAGCATAAACGTTGAACAAGTTGAAAACATGATAACAACAGTGTAACAGCAGGATGATAAAAGAATGAACAACAGTAAACGAAATCAAGAACAAAAGCTGAATACTGAATACTGAATAGATAAAGAGAAATCCGGATTACAAAAAGTCTAGAACACAAGGTTTGCGGAATAAAACTAGATAAAAACTTCTTGTGCAAAAATGTGAAGTACATGCTACTTATAGCCAAATATCCCGAAACCCTAATACTCAAAACGACGAAGTATTAGGACGGGTTAAGAACTGTACTCGACCCATGTGGTCGAGTGAGAGGTCGAGTGAATAGCTGGAGTCTTCTTTTCTTCCTCGTGCTCGAGTGTCTGGTTGAGTGCAGAATGAAGAAGGCTCTGAAGCTTGTCATCGAGTATGCAGTCGAGTGGTGGTGATGGTGATACTCGACTTCCAAGTAGAGTGACGAGGTCGAGTAGTGGTCTGGCAATGAAGGTGAAGACACTCGACCTTGGGGTCGAGTGATGTGATCGAGTGTTGGTCAGGAGATACTCGACTTCCAAGTTGAGTGATGAGGTCGAGTGATTGTCTGATGATGGAGGTGAAGACACTCGACCTCATGGTCGAGTGAAGTGATCGAGTGATGTTCTGGTGATGGAGATGAAGACACTCGACCTCATGGTCGAGTGAAGTGATCGAGTGATGTTCTAGTGAAGGAGATGAGGGCACTCGACCTCGTGGTCGCGTGGTGAAGTAAAGTGGTGATGTCCTCTACTCGACCTGGGGGTCGAGTGGTCTCTTGAGATCTTGAAGCTCCTACTCGACCTCTGGGTCGAGTGGTTTGTCATGATCAGGTCCGCTTCTTCCAGATAGCTCGTCAACAGCTCCAAATCACCTGAAATCAACGCAAGTATGCAACATGCATGCAAAACTATCCTAAACATGCAAAGTGATAACAAATGATGTGTAATGGTATAAAACAGTGATGATATGATGCTAAAGTGATGACAAATGGATGCTCAAAACATGCAAAATACACACTTATCAACTCCCCCAAACTTAGTCTTTGCTTGCCCTCAAGCAAACAATCAAGAACAAGCTGGAAGTGAGGTTTGAAAGCGGGGACTCAAAGCCAACTCACCAGATAGACCAGATGAAATCAATGTCCAAGTTGAAAGTTCTAAGCTGCAAGATCGAATTCTACTTAAAAACGTTAGCCATGCCTCATTATCAATCAATCCGACTCATATGCTCGACCTACACATGTTTTCAAATCTACCAATCCCTTTAACATTCATTAGTTCTGGAACGTGAATCAAGCAATGCATCATCAAAGAACTCATTTGGCTAAGGTAAAAGGTCAAGAGACAAAGATGGTCCCTTACAGAATAGGCTTCAGTAACAGGGGATCTCTCAAAAAATGATTAAGCTTTAGTAGAATGCTAAAGGTAAGTCCCAAGCTATGCATACAAAGATAAGATCCCATCTACCCAGAGTACATCAAATGAAGCTCTATTGGTAATCCCATCTCCAATCCCAATACAAGAACTAAACTCTACCCTTTGCATTCATGAATCTTTTAGGCCCTTTTTCTAATCATTCTTTTCTTTTCTCTTAACTCTAGGAGAAGCTTTCTCAACACTTTGATACATCTAGCGGATTTGGATTTCTTTAACAACTAAGGTTCCTGTTTTTGACATTTTAAAACCAAGGGCTTTTGCCCATCTTCAATAGCTAACAAGAACTCTTTCTTTTCTTTACAAATCCCAAAACCTTTACTAGACTTTTTCTGCTTCTTTAGCTTACTTCACCTAGAGTCTTTTACCTTTTCTTATCAATGAATCAACCCCCTTTTTTTTTCTTTTCTTTTAAACACATCTCAACCCAAAGTATAAACGCCCACCTAGTCCTATCTAGTCCGAAAAATGCGAACTAGAACTACATGAGACACTATCTCTGTCATTACGAACCTAACACTTTCTACCAAGCTTACTCGGAATAAGACCTCACAAACACTCACAAGTGATATAGGGCTTGAAAGAAAGTCTAGGTTTGGGTTTGGGTTAACTGCTCTAATAAGGAGAGTCAGCTACTTGGATTAACAAGAGTGATCAAAATGAATAAGAAAATCCAAGTATTTTAGGGTATCCATGAGTTCAAATTTGATGCAGACATGATAACTAAAGATCAGATTCAGGTTCAAATTGATAGGGAATGGTATCAGATCATGATAGTGTGGTCGAGTAGAGCAATCTAGGCATGGTTCAGTTTTATTTCAAATTCATTGACTACGCAACAGACAACTAGCAACGAGGGCACTGAGTTTATCCGGTGAATCAAAATGCTTATAAGGCTATCTCATCATCATCCCCTATGCATATGCTGCAATCCTAAATGAAACACTCTAGACTCGATCCTAAATGTAATGCAACTACATGAACACTCTTTTTTTTGTGAAATCATTTTCTGAAATTTTTCAAATTTTTTTGGTTTTTCTATGCCTTAGATGAATGCAGACTCAAAAATATATACAATGCAACACAAACTTCCTGAGCCCTCCCCCAAACTTAAATCACACAGTCCACTGTGTGAATAAACTTGGAAGAGAGTACTCAGGACAAATCCAATCACAGAAACAAAATGAAGAAACAAATCAAGATAGATGATATAATACAATGGTGAAGTGAGGCGCTTACCTCAGTCGAAGAATGAACATAGTTGCTCGTCAATGGCTGCCTGTGATTGCTCCCAGGCCATAGACGAACCGCCTTGTTCTGTATCAGCTCCAGCAGGTGGGTACTCGACCTCATCAGCTCTATGGCGGCCAGCACCGCTCTGAGGATACTCGACCTCTCTCCTTCTACTGCCGTCAGCACCGCGGTTGCGTAAACTACGAGACTGCAGAAGTCGTCCGCTCCTGCTGCTAGATCGAGTGAGTGTGGTCCTCCTCTTCCTCCCAGATTCACGAGGCTCGAATGATGAATGCCTCGCAGGGACATGCGGAATCTCCTGCTCTCTAGGCTCAGGCCTGCGCCGACTTGGCTCGGGCGCGTCATATCTCCTCGAAGGCATGTCATGAGGGAGATGTCCCTGCGGAATAGCTGTAGTGGAAGAGGAGCAGATGATCTTGTCCTTCAGAAACTTGATAGCCCTGAAGCACTTGGCGAGTAACTTGTCCTGTTTCTTGCACCACTTCTGCAGCTTGCTGTTGTTCCCATGAGCTTCACTCAAACTCTTGCTTTCCCTCGCAGGAGGTATATGCTCACTGAAATGATACATGCCCGTGTCAAACCCCGCCTCATCTATATCATCCGTCTCATCAACATCTTCTGTTGTAGCTCCTTCGGTGTGACTGATCTCCTCAATTGGCTGACTGCCCTCGAAATAAAGATCTTCAAGCGCAGGCTTGAAGTCAATGTTCCTGCCCTCAAGAATCCTAGTAGCGTCAATGCAGGGGAGAAGAATGTTGGCGATTCTAATCGATGAACGCTCGAACCTGTAGGGGTGAAAGTCGCCAGCCATGTCAAACTCCAAGAACTCACATCTGCGCAAATGATCCAAGTCCATCATCCTCGGTGCTAAACCTGGTTCCTTGAGCGGTACTCCACAAGCTTCCAGAATTGGCGTCACAACGCCACCCACGCATAGTGCTCCTCTCACCTTCTTCTTCCCGTTCGTCAACGCCCACTTCCTGTATCCACACAGATGGATCAACAGAGGCATTACTGGTGGTGCGTTGTTGAGATCGCCTCTCAAGACATTCTTCCCCTTCGTCCGTCGGAGAATCCCTGTAAGCGCATAATCTATCATCTCCATGTCCGTATTAGACACGGTGCCTGTAGACTCCCTGGAGTAAAAGACATTGGCGACCGATCGCTGAAAGTAGCGGATCACAGGACTTCGGATTTGGTTGCTCTTAGACCGCGCCGAGTTTAGCGGTAGATAGTTCCCTATAGTGGCCCACGAATCCTTAAGCTCCTCTCTGTCAAATCTGGGTTTGGTTCCCTTTCCACTAGGGAAACCAAACAGTTATTCTAACTTCTTAATCGAAAGCTGATACCGCTGTTCATACAATGAGAACGTCAAGAAGCCTAACCCCATGGTATCCAGCTCAAAGTCTGTGAGTGCCTCATACATCTCCACTTGCAGCGTGGAAAGAAACTCGATTGTCTCCTCCTTATAGGCAGGGTAAGGGTAAGACATGAGTGTCTCCTGATGACACTTCTCGAACAAATGCTGCACGTCCTCCAGTAACCCCAGCTCGGCTAAAGTCTCATAACACGGATACCTCGTTCCCCAGAAGTCATTCATCTCGAAGAATCTGATATACTCCTCCACTGTAACCTCGTCGAGTTTGTTCAGCAGCTTTGTCTCCCTGCGCCATGACTCTGGCTCATACTCACTTTCGATATCCTCATCAATCAGCTCATACCTACTTGACATCGCCCTCTTTCCTCTGGCGATTTCAGCTCTTCTCTGATTACGTCGGGCTGCAGAGCGTTCGAATTCATCCCTGAAGCTCTGGTAAACATGTTGCTCTCTCGGTCTAGCGGACCAGGACTCAGCTTCATCCACATTGTAATCAGGGTCCATAGAAGATTCTCCGCTGTAGTTACTCATTACGAAACCTGAAAACAAATGTAACTCAAAAATAAACGTTAATACGTTAGTTCCAACAAGACTAGAAACACAAAACACACAAACCAAAAACAGGTCGAGTGTACCAAATTTTTTTAATTTTTAATTTTTTTTTTTTTTCGGTTTGGTCGAGTGAATTCTGTGGCGGTCGAGTGATGAAGAGATGGTGAGGCGGTGTGTCTTGGCGAGGTCAAGTGGCTGTGAAAGGCAGGAGAGGAGCGGTCGAGTGACGAATGTGAGCTTGAAAGGCGGATGTGCTCTAGCCGTGAAGTCGAGTGAATTGAGTAAAGCGGTGAAGTTGTTGATGATTTGAAATCGAGTACTTGGTGAGAATTGGAGTGAGCGATGATGAGAGAGATACAGTGAATCGAGTGAAGTGGCTATGAAGGAGAAAGTGGTGAAGCGGTCGAGTGAAGTATGGGCTGGATGAAGCGGCCGAGTGGTGCGGCTTGGACGGAGGAGAAGGTGGTGAAGCGGTCGAGTGCGTTTGCTGAATCGAGTGACTCGGTTATGAAGATGGAGGTGAAGAGATCGAGTGAAGCTTGTGAGAATGACAATGGTGATGAGAACTCGAGTGATGTTGAACTCGAGTGATGTTGAACTCGCTGAAGAAGAGAAGACGGTGGTGGCTTTGGTGAAGAAATGAGCTGCGGCGGTCGAGTGATGGTCTTGAGGTAGAGGTCGAGTGATGGTGACGAATACTTGAGGACTTGAATTGCAATGAGCAACGATGGGAGATGAGAGAGTTGCGAAAAGTTTGGCGTTTGGAGAAAGACGAGGTCGAGTATATGAAGAGGATGGTGATGAGGTCCAGTGTTGTTGGGATGAAAAGAAAGGGAGAAGTCGAGTGGTTTTTAAGGAAAGAGAAGGCAGAGAGGTCAAGTGAATGGGGGTTTGGTTTGTTGGTGGTGATGAATGAAAGTGATGGGTCGAGTTTATGAGGTAGTGGAGGAGAAAACGAGGTGATGAGGGCGAGTTAAGAGGGATGGGGGTCGAGTGATGGTGTTGACGTCGAGTGGGGAAGAAGAGATGAGGAGAGATTTCTTGTCCTTTGGTCTGTTGCATGGAGGACATGGGCGTCAGCGGTGGGTCCCACTATGTCTTCTTGTCTCTTCTCTGTATTCTCTGTTCACTAGGAAAACTCCAGGAATCCCGCAATGTAGCTCCTGTTGGTCGAGTAAAATGATGATTAAAATTTTTTAGGTTTTTAAACATCACTCATACTCGACCACTATACTCGATCTCTAGGCCATCAGTAGAGTAAAAGTTTTGAATTTTTACTCCACCTTCACGTTACTCCTTTCTTCCTGAGAACCATAGACACAACCAAAACAAATCAAAAATAACAAGAAAATGAAAAGTATTTACAAGGATAGTCATGGGACTTCCTCCCAAGTGAGCTTGTTTTAAGTCTCTAACTTGACTTCTCACACTCATCAAGAAGAAAATGAATGATAGAGAGGGTCTGCATAGTCCTCTCTAGTATCATCATCATACCCAGCGTCCTCCCTGGAGAGGTCTGCAGCAGAATACTCAATTCCCCTTTCTTCAAAATAGGCTTCCTTCTCTTCTGGAGGGTAATCTGTCTCTTGAGACCGTCTTGAAGCGAATTCTTTTCTCGGGATAGTGTCAATCCTGCCCTTAGGTTGAGCTTCTTTCTGCAACTGATTCAGCTTACTTCTAAGTTCCTCAACAGTGTGGGCTAGCTTCTCTATAGTTTCATCTTGCTTATCAGACCTCTTTTTAAATTCCTTCACTCTTTCACTCTCATATTCTTCTCTTGAGATCACTCTATCATTTCCAGAGGTTCTTCCATATTCTGTTGACCCTTGTGGAGTTCTGTTGATGTTAAACTGCAACTTGATGTGCTTTCCAAGGTTGAGACCTATTTTCCCTTCTCTTACATCTATCACTGCTCCCACTGAAGCTAAGAAGGGTCTTCCCAGTATTAAGGGATCCTTATGTCTACTTCCATATCCAGCACCACGAAGTCTGTAGGCACTTCTACTCCATTAATCATGACTGGTAGGTCTTTCAGCATGCCGAAGGTTTTTCTAGAAGACCTATCCGCAAGGATCAAAGTCAGGTCACAAGGTTTATACTGAATGAACTCTAACCTTCTTGCCACAGAGAGTGGCATCAAGCTAACAGAGGCTCCGAGATCGCACAGACAATCGCTGAAAGCAAATTCCCCAATGGAACATGGTAGAGTGAAAGATGCCGGATCTTCTAACTTTTCTTGAACAATCCTCTTATCAGCAGCTCGAGACGGAGTGGCATCACTTTCATCATCTAAATCGTGATACATCTTGATTCTTTCCAGTATCAAATTTCTCACATCTTTGTGAGGATCGGGAATCAGGTTGAGAACTTCCATCAATGGCATCACTGCTTCAATCTCGTCTAGCTGCTTCTCTGCAACAGACTTGTATCTCTCCATCCATGCTTTCCTGAATGTCCACGGAAGAGCACGTGAGGGTAGTGGAGTAGGTTTGAATCGTTTTACCATTCTCTCGATTATGGCGGCCTTTTCTTCCGATATGGATTGAGTGAGATGGCGAGAACCAGCGGAATGGTTGAATTCAACAACAGAGACTTCAACCTGAGTAGAAGCCTCCCCTTCTTGAACATCACTGTCCCCAGTGATGAAATCAGGGACAGGTCGAGTTGGCAGCTCTCGATCATGGCAGATGGTGATGGCGTGAGCGGTTGCATACTCTTTTGGATTCTGTATGGACTTCCCTGGAAGTCCTGTAACTTTTGGTGCAGAGGTAGATGCTGATTGGCCTTCCAAGTATCTGACTTTGGTATTCAATGCCTTCACTTTGGCATTCAGGTCATTGTAGCTGCAGTCCAGCTTATGGTGCAATTCAGATAATTTCTTAGCAATTTCCATTGAGCTAGATGCTTGTCCCTGTAGCAGCTGTTGGACCATCTGTTTCATTTCAGCATCAGGAGCAGCAGGACCTTGGTTTTGCCGAGGTGCAAACCCAGGTGGTGGTGGTTGCTGGTAGTTCCCCTGAAATTGCTGCTTAGGAACGAAACCTTGGTTGTAGGGAACAAAAGGTTTGTTCTGACCTTGTTATTGCTGTGTAGGATACACCTGATCCTGAGGATTAGCAACGTTGGTGCTGCGGTAGGAGAGGTTGGAATTGTTGGTTTTGAAGTTGTTGTATCCTTTGTAGCCACTCTGGTTGTTGTTGATGTAGCTGATTTCTTCCAACTTGTTACCCTCCCCATCTTGGACTTGATACTGGTCGTCATCAACAAGGAAGTGCACATGCTTCTGCTGGCTAAGAAGAATCCTGTCCAGCTTGTCATTCAGCGCTTTGATCTCCTTCCTGTGTTTGTCATCAGAGTCAGCTGTTCCTCTGACGGTCCTATCACAGTCCTCGTTGTAATTGCCATCTGATTGAGCAAGGTTCTCAACCAATTCCCAGCCTTCTTCAACATCCTTGTTCTGGAAATTCCCATTGCTGGCGGAATGCAGAAGCATTTTGATGCGTGGTAGGACTCCTCTGTAAAGAGTGCTGAGCAGAGAGGCTTTAGTAAAGCCATGATGAGGGCATTGGTTGGTGTAACCCTTGAAACGCTCCCATGCTTCACAGAAGCTTTCACCTGTCTTCTGTGAGAAACCAGAAATCTCATTTCTGAGTCTTGCAGTTCTGGTATTGGA